CATATAAGTGTCTTTGGCCCTTGGCCTCATTACATATACATCCAAAGAGTGTCAAAATGTGCACTTAAGTGCACATTACATAGTTTGAAAATTAAATACATGTTTTGTCAAAATAAACCAAAATGGAACATGATATGCTAACAAATGCATATTCTAATATAACAAAAATACTCCAAGTAGTCAAGCAATTCTAAGAGTATTGTGCATTCCACAATAATACTTCTTTACCTGAAAAACACCTAGTAACTTTGGGGTGAGTAAACAAGTTTACTCGTAGGGAATGAGCATACATGAACCTACTTTATACAACTTTGCAATTTGATAAAAATAAATTCATAATGTTCAACCTACATTGGAATTTCCAACACAATGCAATAAGACATAAACTCATAAGGTTATCGACTTGGAATTTAAATGCGAAATCAAACCAAAATAGATACTTGGACATCATGTCGGATCAGACCGACACCATAGTTACTTTAGGGTTATTAGCCCATGGGTAACTTCCCTATGTGCGCACTAGACTTGTAAATGGACAATCCCCCATACTAGAACCATACCCTAGCCTTAGTCATAACGACATCCCAAGTTTCCAAAATTAACAATTTGTGTAACAACGTATATATATTAATATAAACATAAATATATACAATGTGAAACCATTTACCATGCACAAACCAATTTTGGAAACACAACATATGCTCTAAGTTCACAACTACAATGGCATGAAGAATGTTGAATAATCATTATGCAACTTGTTACTCTTTATAACAATGTCCTTCAATATAAGAACACAATCCCACAATTATAGTACAAGTCTAGAATCATGATTTAAACATGCAATTGGCATAAAATACATACTGAAATCATTAATACAACAAGGATAGAAATTAATTAAACAAGACAATTAATTTCTCTAGATTTCATATCTCATCCAAACATACTCATTTTAATATATGTTCAAGAACCTATAATGATCATTACCTATATCACTTCAAAACTTGATTTAAGTCATATGAACATATAAATGAAAATTAATTAATTAATTCCTCTAGATTTCAAAACAACTATAAATGACATCGAATTAACATAAGTTGTGAATCAAGTTATGGCCTTTCCAAAAATCATGTCTTAGCTTAATTTCATGCAAGGTACCATTAACTATCAACTTAAAGATTTAGATTAAAGACATATAGTTCATTTGTACCAAGTTATAAAACATATAAACCATCAAAAACATAATTTAGAACACCCCCTAACTCAATAGAGAATTAAATCTCTATAAACCAAAGCAACCAAGCTCAAAATGGGAAACCAAGCTAGGGTTTTATAGAGGAGAGTGAGAGGAAGATAAAATATTCTAAGCTTATGGGTCTAAGGTGAGTGGAAGGAGGCCAAAATGAAGCTTAAGGCTCTAAACCAAGCTTTGCTTCAATGGTGACAAGGTTAGGGTTTGAGAGAAAAGAGATAAAATGAAATAAAAACACAATCCCTAAACTAAATATGGTGGGATTCTTCAATCACTATGTGCTCTTGCACTACCTCACACACACACACAATGCAAGACTAAATTAGGTGCCTACACTTGTCACTGATCCATGGCTCCTTCCTAGGCTTAATCCTAAGCCTACACTTGTCAACAATCCAAGTCAACAAGTGCTCTAATCCTAGGCCAACAAGTGGGTGACTCTCCACCCTCCATATGTTACAAGATTATACTTCCAAGTCTTTCCACCCCAATGCCAACAAGTGGCACCATAGGAGTGTGACACTTGTCACACTTTTCAAAAATTGTAAAAAGGTCCTTTTTTCAAAATATCTTTCAAATTAAATTGTAAAATGGTCCCTAAGACTAAAAATAATTACTTTATATAATTATACTAAAACCCCAAAGGTCAAAAATATTTCCAAAAAGTTATGCATCCATGCCCTTTATAAGAAAAGTAAACATCTAGCATACTTTTCAACAAAAGTAAAAATGTAGACATCGTGAAAATTAAATATCATGGATGTATGCAAAGCCAAAATCAAATCCGAGCACAAAAAGTGAGATTATGCAACGAAAATGATAAACGGGAAAAGACGAAATAGGAAAAAAACGAAACAGGAAAAAGACGAAAATGGATAAAAAAGAAAAATGCTGGAAAAAAAAAAAGGAAGGAGGGAAAAGAACGAGTCATGACAACCTCCCTACCTTAAAGAGATTTCATCCTCGAAATCAAGACGAACTTGAAAGAAAGAACAAATGGGGATACTGGGAGCAAACCTCCTACTTGAGCTCCCAGGTAGCCTCCTCAATGCCGTGGTGTCTCCACAAGACCTTGACCAATGGAATGGTCTTGGTCCGCAAGACTTACTCCCGTGAATCAAGAATCCGGACCGGACCTTCCTCGTAGGTCACATCCCCATCAACAACCACATCAGTCCACCGTAGAACATGCGATGGATTCGGCTCGTACTTCCTCAGCATAAAGACATGAAAGATGTCATGAACCCTATTTAGGTCTAGCGATAATGCCAAACGATAAATAACCTCACCGACGCGCTCCGAAATCTCAAATGGTCCAATGAACCTAGGAGACAACTTGCCAGTCTGTTGAAATCTCAGAAGCCCCTTGCGCGGAGAAATCTTAAAAAAGACATGGTCCCCTACCTCAAAGACAAGGATCGCCTCCTCCTGTCAGCGTAACTCTTTCGTCTGCTTTGTGTGGTAGCCAACTGCTATCGAATCAACTTGATTTTCTTTATAGTCTCAATGATAATGTCAGGACCTAAGGCGACGGTATCACCGACCTCGGTCCAACAAACTAGAGATCTACAAGGTCTGTCATACAATGCCTCAAAAGGCGCCATGCCAATACTGGTCTTGTAACTGTTGTTGTAGGCAAATTTAACCAAAGGTAAGTAGTCCTCCCAACTACCCCCGAAATCCAGAATACAAGACCGTAACATATCCTCCAATATCTGAATGGTACATTTTGACTGACCATTAGTCTGAGGGTGAAATGCTGTGCTAAAATGAAGTCCTGTATCAAGAGCCTCTTGAAAGTCCTACCAAAAGTAAGACATGAACCGCGGATCCCTATTCGAAATAATAGATACAGGAACTCCATGAAGCCTAACAATCTGCCTCACATACAGTCCACTCAGTCTCTCTGCACTATCTGTCACTGCCATGGGCAAGAAATGTGTCGTCTTAGTCAACCTATCAACTATAACTCAAATGGCATCATTCCTTGCCTGAGACCTCGGAAGTCCTGTTACGAAATCCATAGTGTTATGTTCCCATTTCCACTCAGCTACTGGTAATGGTTGCAACAATCCTGCTGGTCGCTGATACTTTGCCTTCACTTGCTGACAAGTAAGGCATCGAGCCACAAACTGTGAAACATCCCGTTTCATGACCTGCCACTAAAACTGTCGCCGCAAATTGTGATACATCTTCGTACCACCAGGATGAACTGCAAGCCGAGAATGGTGAAAATCCTGAAGAACGTCTTCACGACAAGACAAAGGAACGAATATCATCCCCTTGTCTTTGGATAAGGAAATTGATATGGTACAAGTGATCATTATCTCTATATGTATATGAATATGAATATTATAAATAAATGATATTGTAAATAAATGACAATAGGTAAAAAGTGTTACTAGCCTATTTAGTTGATGCTAATGATGACCTTATGAATACCATCTTCTTGTTGGGATAGTAAGAAATGCACCACTACTGAGAATTAAATCATTTTGTTAGATCTCGGGAATCATTTTTTTAAATGCGATTTAAATTTGACTTTAATTATTCATATAAGCTTAACCAGATTAGACACCATACTAGTATATACAAGGCTTAGTTGTTCATGGCGTGATGAAGTAAATAAGTAAAGAACATAAAAATAAAAATAAAAAATTTAATTTTTATTTAAATTTCTATTATATTCATGGCATGAGACTGTGTTTAGGAAACCAGGGCGTGACACATCCCATCCTCACCAACGACTTTGTAAACACAGCCTCCATTCCTATCGATAGGACTGTAACCAATGAGCATCTGACCGGTAGTAGCTGCTAAGAACTCGTCCTAGAAAACATCAAATATAGCCTTTATGTATAGGTTTGCCGCCTCTACTAATATGTTACAGTTCGTTTTCAGTTGAGGTAGATTGTGGAGTAACCCATACTCGGCTACATACTCCTTGTAACGCTTGTCGGACAACAGCCTTTCAAAGTGTGTAAAGAAATCTAGAAGAATCAATTGCCTGGATAAGTATGCCTTCAAGCAACCATTGAAGCTTTCACTCAGTTGTGTGCTGCGGATACCCGCAGACCAGACATATTTGATAAATGCCATGGCCCATCTATGTTTCAAACCTAATAGATTTGTAAGCCACGTGTTACTAACAAGACCATATTCCGTTATCATTAAATTCCATTCCCTGCTAAATTCTTCCTCCTCCTCAATTTGAAACATTAATTTTGATAACACCTTCTTTAAGCCTTAGGCACGTCTAAACAAAAACGCTATATGCTTCTATGCATTTTGCATTATGTGTCAAATACGTAGATGCTACTGTGTCCCTGGCATCATCTGCAAAATTATTTACTGTAATATAACTATGTAATAACATACACCATTGCCAATTACATAATAGAAAATGAAATGCAAAGAGTGGAGATCTGAATTGAAATCACCTGCGTAATGCCTTTCCCATTGCAGCGTCTTGATTAGTGAAGATTGTCTTTGGCGCTTTACCAGACATTACTTTCAAAAAAGTTTCAAACAACCGAACAAATGAATCTGCAGTCTTGTTATACATGAATGCTGCTCCAAACACAGCGGTCTCCCGGTGATGATTCAACCCCAAGTAACTTGCAAATGGACGGTTGCCATGTATAACTTTGTAGGTTGTGTCAAAACTTACAACATCTCCAAAATTACAATAATCACCTATCATTTCTTAATCTGCCCAGAATATATTTGTGATCAGTTGATCAGTATCCAATTAGCATGCATAGAAGAAGGATGGATCTTCACAAGACTGAGTCTCAAAATAATTCATAAGCCATCCTGCCTCTCCATATTCAAGCTCATTTTGTCTTCTAGTTCTTAAATGATTTTGTAAATCTAACTTTATATACCCAATTGATTCTTTTCCACCAGCTTGCCTTCCCATCAACTCATATGAATTGCGAGGGGTTATTCCAGAATCAAAAGCCAATTCCAAGTCAATGGCTTGAACGCGGGTAATTCTACGTTGGGATGACAGCATGTGCACGCATTCATCAATTATCAACGGATGGTTGTAACTTTCAACAAATTTTGCAACTTCCAACTTATGGGTATACTTGCAATATTGTATAGGCATTCGAGCACGGCAACCGGTTCGTGTTTTATCCATAAGAGTCTTTGTATTACTATCCCAAATGTCGCCAACCCTAAAACCCTCCTTGGAGCATGTTAACAATCACGATGACAATTTACCAGTTTTCTTGCTTTTATTAAAATACTCTTTGCGGATACTAAAACCGACTCAACCGCCATATGAATTATAGAAATCATATGCCTCTTCCTCGGTTTTAAACTTCTTACCAATTCTTAGTTTCTATTCTATGACATCGGCCCTGCAATATGAGCGTTTCATGTATCTGTGGTGTCTTCAATATTATTTAATACCTCTTCCATTCAAATAATTCAAATAAAAAACCTACAACATATATATAAATATATATATTTAAAAACAAATGAACAAGCAATATCTTGCAGGGATCCAACTTCCTCAACTGCAAATATTTAATTTTGCTACAAATAACAAAATTAATGATTTTTTATATTTTTTCCAATTCAAACATACACTTCCAACCTTAATTCAAATAGCGCGCGCGCGCACACACACACACATATATATATATATATATATATATATATATATACTATTTTCTTAATTTGTACCGTTTTGTGACCTATTAATATTGTTCAACATACATAATATATCACAGATCCAACTTCCTCAACTACAAATATTTAATTATGCTACAAATAACAAAATTAATGATTTATTTAACTTTTTCCAGGTCCAACATTCACTTCTAACCTTTTTGGGCATTCTATTTTCATTAAAATTACAACTATGTTTACTTATTGATTTAACTTTTTCCAAATCAAATATGGACTTCCAAACTTTTTTCTTCTTATTTTGAGAAACATTACAGCCATGTTAAGTTATTTACAATGAACAATTATAATTCTCAATTAACATTACAAATTGTATAAAAGCCTTACAAGATTACAATGGAAATTTTATTCTAAGATCTTAAATTGGAAGTTTAAAAGTTCAACCATTAAGTTATTTATAATTACCAAGAATTTTTTTTTTTTTTTTTTTGTAAGGTCTTAAATTGAAAGTTTAAAACTACAACAACATTATTTATAATTATCAATCATAATTCTCAATTACAACTAAAAATGGCTTACAACATTGCCTTCGAGAAATCCAATGGAAAATTTATTCTAATATCTTAAATTAGAAGTTTAAAATATAACATCTTTATAATACCGAATATTCCAACTATTTTTTAGTATTTATCACTAATAAAACTTTATAGGAAAATATATTTTAAGATCTTAACTTGGAAGTTTAAAACATCCATTCCTCATAATACGAATATGCCAACTATTTTATAGTAGTGATCAGTAATAAAACATTGCCTTACAGGAATAGAATTGAAACTTACATCAATACACTTTCAATTTATTCTAACATCTTAAATTAGAAGTGTAAAAGTCAATTTCTTCTAATACATAATATGCCAACTATTTTGTAGTATTTAAAACCTAACATAACTTAGGACATTGTAAAATTTATCACGATAAAATTTTCAGAATTTTCCATTAATTTTTCCACAATTTAATAACAGTTCAAAAATAACCGAACAAAACTAATTAAACACAATTTCATACCATTCACAGATTCACTCACAAAACCAGTGCACTATAGCTTCGTCTTCTTCGGCAAACACTGTAGCTTCGTCTTTCAATCAAAGTTTTGGAAAGAACTTGTAAATTAGGAAAGAAGAAAAGTAAGGAAACGAGATCGGTGACTTTGTTTGAAAGAAGATTTTATTTGTTTTTTTATATTTTGGGACAGAAGAAGAAAGAAGATTAAGAAGAATCGCTAAATTTGATTTGAAAATTTTAATTTGACGCTTAAATAAAAAATTAAACAGGTATAATTTTATATATGTGTATATATATATATAACCTTTATTATCCGATATACTATTTGGCTTTTTTTACTGCCACTACAATGATCACCGGGAACAGATCTCGTGTTCCACCGGAGAGATTTTTGTCCTTACTGGAGTATTTATAATCAGCTGCCAAACATAGTGATCAACCCACCATTAACAAACAAATATTGCTTTGCTAAAAAAACAAAAATCGACCACCATCAATCCCACGAAACAAAACTATAACCAAATCATTTCCAAAACATTATAACCTACCTTATCATTACCCCCTAATCCTCAAAATCAACGACGACCTTCAAACAAAACTAGAGGCTTCGTTGTTAGGGTTTTGATTCAGCAAAGGGGTTCTGCTTTTAGTGATCAATCATATGCACATCCCATAAATCATCATCAAGATTTGAAGAACAACAATAAGAAAAAGAGGGACTATTACCATTAGCTACCTCTGCAACCCAATACAATAACACCAAACCTAAAACCCCTTTCTTTTCAATCGCACAAAATCCAAACGAGTCATAACGTTGAACACTATCGCCATTGTCGCAAACCCCAAGTCCGAGCCCTCATAATAAAGCAAAACAGCCCGGTGAACCACTCAACAACAGTTCAAAAACCATCGTCGTCGCCGATCGTCCCTTCAGCCTCCATATCATTAGAACGTTGCCAATCGTCAGCGTTGCTGTCCTCTCCTTTGCTATCTCAACGTCGCCGGTCTCTCGCACTGTCGCCGTTGTCGAAAACAGGCGTTGGAGGAGATATGGATGGAACGTGGGTCTCTGTCGACTGGCAGCGTTGCTGTCCTCTCCTTTGTTGTCACAACGTCGCCGGTCACTCGCACTGTCGCCGTCGTCGGAAACAGGCGTTGGAGGAATATGGATGGAACTTGGGTCTCTGTCGACTGGCAGCGTTGCTGTCCTCTCCTTTGTTGTCACAACGTCGCCGGTCACTCGCACTGTCGCCGTCGTCGGAAACAGTTGTTGGAGGAGATATGGATGGAACTTGGGTCTCTGCATGTAGATCAAGAGATGGAAGAGAGTGTTCTTTCATATGCTTACAACACTCTTTCTGTGGGTTATTAAAATGAGTTGTGCGGGCAATAATGAGTGAGGGTATAAATGACTTTTCCCAATCATAGATATTTGTAACTTAAACCTATTTGTGACATAACAATGTAAGGGCATAATAGAATTTTTACATTAAACCTTAATGCTGCTATATTTGTGTGAGATCCAGTCAAATTTTAGAGGCGAACTTGAATCTGAAACTTCAAAGTATAAATTTCAAGCACATTATCAATTTGACTATTATACTACTTAAGAATAATTATAAATATATATATATATATATAATATTTTCGAGCTTTATCTGTATCAACCCAAGCTCAACTCAAATTAAATTCGAGTTCAAAATATATATAACTTAGAGCCAAACAGAAATTAGAAAAATATTGTCTAAGCTCACAAAATTTCGAACTAGGCTTGGATTATTTCGAGTTGAGTCCGCCCGAGTTGCAGGCCTAGTTGAAATTGAACATGATCAAATTTATTCAAAACCATGCATGAATTATTATTCTTGTTTCCGATATTAGGAGCTTCACAAGACATGCATTAAACTTGATTTTGATGTTAAGCTCGACTTTAGTGAGCAAGAAAGATTTGAGAAGGTACTTGTCAGGTGAGTGGTAGGGTACAACCACCCATACCCCTACGAAAAATATATTTAATTGTGTGTATGGTATGTAAGTTGTGTGTTGGTTGGACAAAATTTTTTTGTATGAATTTTAGTGTCAATTAATTTGTCTTAATCAGCTTGCGGAGCAATTAATCAAATTAGAGAGGAAGTTGGAAAAATAGTTGGGAATTGAAAACTTAGTGCTAATGTGCAAGAATGCATTGAGTCACATGCAATCTCAAGTTGTGCGTTGTCGAGTCAAAAAAACAAAAAAAACAATCCATGTATATAATTATTTAAATTGAAGCATTAAAAGAGTCAATAATGGTAGATGAATTGGTTACGCAAATAGTCACGTCTCATCAATCATCATCTTGAAGTCTATTTAGGCTGAGACTAACCTTGAAGGAATTTGCACCACAACAATGCATGTCCTTCACCTAAAATTCTCTCCGTTTTCTTCTTCATCAATAACTTTGTTATGTGTCTTCCTTTTGATCAATATCACCCAAGCTCTAACAAAAATTCCACACAATGAATCAATTCCTGCAGTTTTTATGTTTGGTGATTCCATAGTTGATACAGGCAATAATAACAATATCCAAACAATAGCCAAAGCCAATTTTCGTCCATATGGGAAGGATCTCGCCATCGTGGGAGGAAAACCAACTGGAAGATTTAGTAATGGAAAGGTTCCCGCAGACTTGTTTGGTAGGAATGAAATTTTTTACTTTTATTATATATTTAAGAAACAAACACACACACAACTTTTCTCACACTTACCAAATTTTGCCACTGATATATACTATTAATTGGATTTTACCAAATTCTCTTCATTTGTCAGCGGAAGAATTGGGAATTAAAATGCTCTTGCCGGCATATCTTGATCCAAATCTGCAAACTGAAGATCTCCCTACCGGGGTGAATTTTGCTTCTGGTGCTGCAGGATATGACCCTCTAACATCTGAGCTTTCTGTACACAATTTTCTTTTCTATTGCTTTCTTGTGTTTTTGTCTTTTGTAAGCTTTCACACACACACATATATATATATATATTCTTTGCAAAATTTACTAATTTTTTTTTTTCTTTTACTTTTTAAAAATTTTTGTACAAATTTTTTTTGTTAAATATCAGACAGTTATATCACTGTCACAACAGTTAGACTTGTTCAAAGAGTACATAGAGAAGCTGGAAAGGGTTGTAGGCAATGAGAGAAGCAGCACCATTTTAGCCTCCAGCCTGTATGGAGTGGTAGCAGGCAGCAATGATATTACCAACACCTACTTTCTCACTCCTTTCCGGAGATCACAATACGATTTTCCTTCATACGCGAATCTTATGGTTAACTCAGCTTCTAATTTCATGCAGGTATATTTTAGCTAGGTCAGCACATATGCAATTTCAGAATATCTATTCGGTGCTCCCAATGTAACACTAGTTTAAATTTAAAACTAAAGTATAGTGGCAGCAAAATATATA